CAGCCAGCAAAGCCAACTGCACCTTGTCATGCATCCAAAGATGCATCTCAAGCCGATCCAGAGAGGTGATACTTCCCCTCTACGCGACACTGATCTGGCCTCAGTTGGAGTACTGGGTCCAGTTCTGGGCACCACACTTTAAGAAGGAAGCCTGCCTTGAGAGAGTTCAGAGGAGGGCCACCCACTTGGTTGAAGGGCAACAGGGCAGGCCCTATGAGGAGAGGCTGAGGGACCTGAACCTGTTCAGCCTCAGCAAGTGGAGGTCTGAGGGGGCACTTCGTGGCTGCCTACAAACTCGTTAGGGGAGATCAGCAGCAAATAGGAAGGGTCCTATTCCCCCAGCAGCACCAGGGGTGACAAGGAACAATGGCCAGAAGCTGCTGGAGAATAGGTTCAGGTTAGAGATTAGGAGGCACTATTTCACTGTTAAGGTGGCTAGGATCTGGAACCAACTTCCTAGGGAAGTGGCGCTCGCTCCTACCTTGGGTAAATTCAAAAAGAGGTTGGACAAACACCTGTCTGGCGTCATGTGATCCCAGTGTGTGCTCCAGCCAGTGGCAAGGGGGTTAGACTAGATGATCTATTCAGGTCCCTTCCAACCCCTAACTACTATGAAACTCCCACATTTATGCATTTTGAAATATCAATAAAGAACTACAAAGATGAATTTGGTTCTTACCATCCTTTTTGGTGATACAGTTTGTGTTTTCATCTAATAAAAAAAGGAGAAAGAAAATAAGAATGAGTTTCTTGTTCAACATAAAAGGTTAAGTGTATGGACAGTCTGCAAATACACTAACGCATAAATACTTAACTTTATAACAATCAAGCATTTATGAGCTCTACTAATATTTTATTATAAATAAATAATATATATATCAGGGCTGTCCAAGTGGTGACCTGTGCCACCGCTGGAGCTTTTTCATGGACACCATGAAATTAGCTCCACACTATGATTTTTAAGGGTTGCAAGCCTGTGCCAGAACAACGTACAAAAGCACAGGTTTCCCTTTGTAGGCGGGCAGCATTCCAGCCTGTAAAGGGAAACCCAGGCTCTCTCAGCCTCCAAGAGGCTGCTGAGTGTGTGGCCAGAATTCAGCCAGGCAGCCAGATGAAAGTAAGTGTAAGTAAGTACAGGTGGGGGAAGAGAATTGGGAGGGCCAGGGCTTGAGGACTGTCGGTTGGGGTGGAAAGGAGATGTGCCTGCCATAGGTTTGCTGAAGGCCAGGGCTAACGGGGCTTATTCCCCCCAAACTTTTTGCAGCAGCTGGTGACAGCAGTAGCACCGCAGTGCTGCCATCCTGCAGTGCCTGGTGGCACTCGGTGTACAACCGCTTCTCCGCCGTGGCTTACAGCTGCAGCATGTGCTGGTTCAGCAACAGTCCCATGGGAGGGAGGAGCAGGGGTCAGGTGGGGGTCAGCTCCCCCCCAATAATATTTTCTCCAACCACTTACAGTGCCTGCCACACAGGCAGCACGTGTGCTGGTAAAGTATCATTTTCACGGAACTACCAGGACCCATTTGCCAAGATCAATTGTAGTTCCATGAATATTCCGTGAAAAATGATACTTTACCTGAGCATGTGCTGTGAATTTTCTACAAGAAATCTGTGATTTTCTCAGGGCTCCACTTGAGGCTGAACACTGCTGCCACTCACATCCTAACCCTTGGCTCACTGCCATATTTGGGGTCTTCAATCACCACTGGCAACTCAAATGGACAGCAAGGAAAAGGGAAGAGGAGGAAATGGTGGCAGCATTCACCCTCCCCATGGTTCTGGAGCTATGCAAATGTCATGGCTCTGGCAGCCTTGCCAACAAGCTGCTGGCCTGCCGCCAGAGGTAGGCTGGATCTGGCATGTAGGGCTTGTCCATGAGAAGCCCTACATGCCAGATCCAGCCCATGGGGTCAAATAAGTTGGAAAGCCCCAGTAGAAATTATAACATTAAGTTTCTTCAAACCTCTCCTGAAAATATCACATAATTAAAGAGTAAAAACAATAGTACTGTAGCCATTCAGTGAATTTTAGATTAAATACTCCCATTGCCTCCTTAGTACCTATTACCTTCATATATTTTTGTCCATATTATTTTGTTAAGATTACTGGGGCAGGGAAGAGGGGGCAACTCTTTCTCATTGGTTTGAAAGGGATGCTAGCAAACTCTTTCATGCTTTCAGAAATAAACACCAAGAATCTCTCAGGTCAGCCTAACGACCCACTATAAGAAATTTCTGAAGGTATTTCCAAGCAAATAACTGGAACAGAGGGCTACTGGAGAACAGCAGGTAGGAATGCAGAACAGACCTGAAAACTGACCTAAACCTAAAAGCTAACACACTGTAAAATTTGCTTCAGATGCAAATATTGGATTCTTACAATTTTACCAATTGCCAAACTAAGTTATCTTATCTAGAACTGAGAATCTGGAATCCTTTTTCACTATACAAATCAGAAAACCATTATCAGAAACACAAAAAACTATAACAAAAGCTTTGTTATCCAGCACCCATGAGCAATGGGGGGTGCCAGATAACAAAATATGCCGGTTAACTGAGAAGACCGAACAGGTGTCTTTGCCTGTTCAGGCTGCTGCATCCGGGGTGTTGTCGCCCTTCCCGCCGCATTGCCGCCTCTCCCACAGGCCCCGAGGGACAGGGAAGCGGGCCCCGCGCATTCTGCTATGCCCCGGGCTGTGGGGGCTTGGCAAAACTGGAAGTGCCACGGTGGGCGCTTCTGGTTTTGCTTTTACCTTGCAAGCTGGCATGCCAGTTAATAGAGCATGCCAGCTTGTAAGGTGCCAGATAATGCAAATTTTACTGTACTGACTAAATTTAGCTTTGGCTTCTCACAGATAAGTTGTGTAATTATAGGGGTGCACGGATAAAGATTTTCTTGGCCGATACCAATAGCTGATTACTCACCACGCATACCAGCCGATACTGATCTGATAACAGATTTACAGGAATCCAGCCAGACAGTGTGGAGAGCAGTGCCCTGAAAGCAAGTCTGTGGAGGGGAAGAGGTGTGGGGGAGGGAAGGAGCATGGGAGGGCAGATCAAGGTCCCCACTGTGAGGGAGGGAGTGAGGCTGGGGGCACTGTTGAGCCAGGGCACTAAATGGGACCCAGGGCTAGGGCAGGAAGTGGGATGGAGCCATAGGTGGCTTGTCCAGCTGGCGTCAGGCAGGATTGGGAATGGCTTTCTGCTGCTGTACACCCCCATCCTGCCCCATGCCCTCTGAACAAACCACCCATGGCTCTATCCCACTTCTTGTCCCTGGGTTCATAGAATCATAGAAGTAGGGTCGGAAGGGACCTTGTAGATCTTCAAGTCCAACCCCCCGCCTGGGCAGGAGAAAAACTGGACTCAAATGAGTCCAGCTAGGTAGGCATCAAGCCTCTTCTTAAAGACTCCCAGGGTAGGAGCCAGCACCACTTCCCATGGAAGTTGGTTCCAGCTTCTAGCCGCCCTAACTGTGAAGTAGTTCTTGCGGATGTCTAATCTAAACC